TTTTATCCGATAATGCAGTTGTGATTTTTGAATCAGGGAAAGATTTGGAATTGAGGGGGAGGAAAACTGGCAAGATTTCATTGATTAGAAATTTTGTGAAATATGCCTAAAACTATAAATGAAATAAATGAAAAAATATTGCTCATAAGATTTTATTAACAAATTAAAAAAAAAAGTTGATGCAAAATCGTTAAAAAATTGTAAGGAATTATTGACGACATAATTAATATTAGTCAAGTTAGCTAGATATGTACTTTCTGATTTAAAATTTATCTTTCAATAATCGACAACCTCGTTTTAGAAAAATTTAGAATTTTACTGGAAGAACATTTTGTTGTGGCATATTTCTTGGGTTTCAATAAGCGGATTCAAGGACGATTTTAAAGTCAAAAATTTTACTAGCTGAAAACTTTGAATAATTTTGAACCTAAAAAATCTTTGCAATGATCGAGTGAGGAATACGTCTGAACAAGTTCGATTGATTAGTATTTAACAACAGTAATACCTATTTGCAAGTTCTTCGTGTATAGCATGCAAGGTTAATTATTTGTTATGTATGTACCACCAGGAAATTTATTTATTTTAACAAAACAATAAAGTGGGAGAGATATGAGAATAACTTACATGAACCAATAACAATAATAACAGCGAGAAATACTAATTAATAAATAATGACACAAAAAAGACTGATGGAAAATATAAATAATTAACAACAACAGAAATAGCAATGCATACATTACTTTAAGTAAACTGTAAAGCACAAACTTTAGTGATTGAGCATGTGCGATTTCAAGTTCTTTTTATTCATGAAACCCTTACTGCATACAGTGCAGTGGTAGACAGGTCTATTCATGTCATGAGTTACCATGTGAGCCTGCAAATTGTACTTTTTTAAAAAACTTTTCCCGCATATCGGACAACTGCACGGCTTCTCACCGGTATGAGTCATCAAATGTTCTTTCATATTCCCGAACTGAGTGAAATTCTTTTTGCATATCGAACAACTATACGGCTTCTCACCGGTATGAGTCACCGTATGCCTTTTCATATCAATGAACTGGATGAAATTCTTTTTGCATATCGAACAACTATACGGCTTCTCACCGGTATGAGTTATCATATGTACTTTCATATTTACTACTTCCTTCTGACATACATTACAGAGCCGTTTCTTTCTTAGGCATTCTCTTTGCTTTGATAGTTCCACTACTTCCATCAGTGTTTCGATTGGAACGAGCCGTAACAGCGGTTTAATTCCTTCATCACTCACTCCCTCCACTGATAAGCTTTGCGATTTACTCCCCACCTCTTTCACTTTTGATATTGATAAATCCAGGGGTTCTGTTTGGTCCGTTTGTGCTGCCTCAAATGATATGAAATTATCAGTCTCACACTACGCAAAAAAAAAAAAAAAAAAAAATTTAAATCTTTTGGTATTGCAGCGCTATGTTGCATTTTATTAACTTTAGGTGAACTTACAGTAGTTTGAATATTGCTCAATTGGAAGAAGAGGAAGAAAAAATAGATGAAATGCATGCCAATGAGAATAATTCTTACCAATTCTGAAAAACATTCAAATATTCAAAAATTTCAAATTCATACGAAATAACACGGTTACTGTTTGACAAATGTACAAAGGAGAAATTTGTCCAAGTAAATGTTTTTCTAAGTATATCAGATTATTTACAAAGTAATCATTGATTCCCAAATTCTTTCTCATAATTCAGAACTATGAAAAGTGATCATTCCCCACCGAAATAAATGAAGTAGAACTTGCTAGATGAATTTTATAAAAGCGAATTTGACGCAGGTCACACGATTCCATAAGGGATTGTTAGAGAATCATATGTATAAATGCTTATTCATATGGGAGTGGTAAACTATGTGTATTGATAAGTCACATTCACGTATAATAATATATGTATAGTAGTAATAATTGACTTGATAATATTATATGTAAAAATAGTCACTGTTTAATCCTTTATATTGAATTATTTTATTTTAGCTGCTATATTGCATTGTTGAAGATAATTTATGCAAAGCAGTTGTGATATTTTTTGTAATTTTATTTCATCATTTCGTTCCGATTTTTTATATTTTCAAATCTTTGAGAATATTAGCATGAATGGAAAACTACATTACTGAATCTCTTATAACTGATAATACTAATTTATAAATACTAAATGATTTCATCAAATCTTTGGTTTCGGCTTCATTTTTAAACTTAATTTCCAAATTTGCTTTGTATGCATGTGTATAAATTAGGCTTATTCAATTTTCATACAGTCATCGTATACAACATATGATGTGATGAACATTTTAAATAATGCACACATCCCTTGTTAACAGCTATAAAATTCTAAACAATGCAGATAGGTTCAGCTACAACTGGAAGATGAGTGTTGATAAATGATTGCTTAAATAATAGATTTTTGATATATATTTGTCTAAAGAATATTCAATTAATAAAATCTTTAATCTTATGGTCTAATGCTATTTTAATGAGGCATATTATAATTTGATTTTATTCGGCAAGTTAGGTGTTGACAATTTGTTATATTAAAGTCAATTTCCGTCATTTATTTGAGTAAAGAATTGTTCGCAGATAGACTTAGCCACAACTAGAATAAGTGAATAAGCTAGTGACCAAAAAAAGATTCAATTCAATTAATTGAAATTCATATTAAGTACTTTCGATCAAGTATTGACTGGATGATGATAGGTTCGCAAAGTTCTACACTCAATAGACAGACGATTAAGCAACCCTTTAGAAATGTATATATTACATTATATGACTTTAATATACATTATATGACTCATGATATATTACTTTAATTAGCAATATTATCAGATAAAACAATAAAGTTCACTCCCCACCCCCTCCCCCCTTAAAAAAGTTTTGCTACCATTATGTTCTGTCTGCACATGATTAATACGTAACGGAAGATAACGTGGCCGTGCTAACATTATGGCCATTTCGGTACAAAAAATTCCGCGTGGTGAGAATGGTTCACTGAAAATTAATAACATTAACGGAATGATCTGTAAATTGTAAATTAGCTGTGATTTTACTTTACAGTTTACTAAATAATCGGTGATTAGATATAGAAAAAAGAAAAAATTTTGAAACTTTCACTTAAAAAGAAATGCTGAAAGTAAAAAAGCAAATAGTATGTCTTACTTGCACTGAAAACATATGCTGGCTGTGGTACACAAGCTGATGGCATCTTTAGTGCCCGTTCATGATCATGTTGTATTAGCAAACCTGACCTGATATTACTTCCAGTATAAATCTATTATCACTAGTAGCAGCTACAGTGTAATAATTATTGACTGTAAAATTTTTTGCTATTTCAACTGCATGCTTTTCATGAACTTGAAACTTTTTAAAGTTTGTTAAATTGTCGAAAAATTGCTACTACAAAATTTTATTTAATAGAGATATTAATCAGAAGTATTCCCTTAGCAAAACTATATGTATAGTGTTTAATATAGTAAGTGTCATTTTTTTAATTAAATGAATAAATTTTTTATTAGCAAAAATTGAGCATGCTTTTATTTTTTATTGCTATAATTTATTAATTAAATAATCCATTGATTAATGGTTTCGTGTATTATTTGATTGTATGAAAAGAAAAGATCATGCTTACTCTTTCTGCCATTTGTGGCAGTAATAATTTAAAATTAAATATCAGTGTATTTAGCAATTGAGTCTTATTTCAAATAATATATACCATATAATCTTGTTGAAATGAGCCTCAGTAGACAATATATTTATTACTGTTACATTACTATTACAAGTATCTGTTCTTGTTTATAACCAATATTTTATCATCCATTTTCCACTAATTAATATTTAACACTCAGAAATTTGCATAATTTGAAATCTCCCTAAATTTAAAAATCATAAAAAAATAAATTTAGAAATCATAGAAAAAGTATTGATTGATAATTACTTTAAAAAAAAGAGAATGAAATTTTTGAGAAATCACTTTTTTTAAAAAAATTAATAGTTTTTGATTTTTCCCAGAAAAAAAAAAAAAGAAAACAAAAAAAACAAAAATTTTCGCCAAAAAGAAGATTACAGTTAAAAAGAAAATTACTTCGGAAACTAATGCAACAAGTAATTTTACTCAGGGACTAATGTAGCAAATATTTTTAATTCGAGAACTAATGCATGTGAAATGGTTTTAACATCAACTGGATGAAATAACTCCCACAAAAAAATCTCAGTGCTTAACTATGCATTATTGATTTTTCATTTGGTAAGCAATGATAGCAAAGGCAAAAGAAAAGAATCAGTTTAGAACACTCTGCGATTTACTGATAGATATATTGACGTTATCACTGAATGTAATACAACAAAAAGAAGGGACTTTTTTCACCCAGTTTATTCATTTTAAAGTAATAAAAAGCTAGCTAATACTGTTATTCATTGATATGAATTGAATGTTGGGTTAGATTATCAAATATCCTAATTAAGTGGAAGTTTAATGCAAATAAAACAATTGAAATAGAATTTCGAATGTAAATTGACAAGTGAAATAAATTAACCTTTTCGTATAATTTCATAACCTTACAGATATATAACTTTATTGAAATGTTATAGTTGAGTTTCTTTTCTTTCCCAAAAATTTACTTCCATGTTACTTATGCAGTAATCGAGCGAGGAATACATTTGAGCAATTTCCCTTCATTAGTATTTAACAGTGGTACTTATTTACAAGTTCCTCATTTTATAGCATGCAAGGTTACTTGTTTGTTATGTATGTACCGCCAGGAAATTAATTTATTCTGACAAAACTAAAAACAAAGAAGTGGGAAAGATATGACACAATATAGATATAAAACCAAAAGGCATGCAATGAAAAAGACAGCGAAAGATAATAATTGATATATAAGAATAGGTGACACAAAATTGACTGATAAAAAATATAAATAATCAACAAAACAGAAACAGTAATGTGTATTTCTTCTATTTAAAGTATAAAGTGCAAGCACTAATGCTTGAGCATGTGCGATTTCAAGCTCATTTTATTCGTGAAACTCTTGCTGCATACAGTGCAGTGGTAGACAGGTCTATTCATGTCATGAGTTACCATGTGAGTCTGCAAATCCTGTTTTCGTGAGGAACATTTTCCGCATATCGGACAACTGTACGGCTTCTCACCGGTATGAGTCATCATATGTTCTTTCATATTCCCGAACTGAGTGAAATTCTTTTTGCATATCGAACAACTGTGCGGCTTCTCACCGGTATGTGTTAACATATGTCTTTTCATGTAACCGCACTGAGTGAAATTCTTTTTGCATATCGAACAACTGTGCGGCTTCTCACCGGTATGTGTTAACATATGTATTTTCATGTAACCGCACTGAGTGAAATTCTTTTTGCATATCGAACAACTATACGGCTTCTCACCGGTATGAGTCACCCTATGCCTTTTCATATCAATGAACTGGATGAAATTCTTTTTGCATATCGAACAACTATACGGCTTCTCACCGGTATGAGTTATCATATGTACTTTCATATTTACTACTTCCTTCTGACATACATTACAGAGCCGTTTCTTTCTTAGGCATTCTCTTTGCTTTGATAGTTCCGCTACTTCCATCAGTGTTTCGATTGGAACGAGCCGTAACAGCGGTTTAATTCCTTCATCACTCACTCCCTCCACTGAGAAGCTTTGCGATTTACTCCCCACCTCTTTCACTTTTGATATTGATAAATCCAGGGGTTCTGTTTGGTCCGTTTGTGCTGCCTCAAATGATATGAAATTATCAGTCTCACACTACGCAAAAAAAAAAAAAAAAAAAAATTAAATCTTTTGGTATTGCAGCGCTATGTTGCATTTTATTAACTTTAGGTGAACTTACAGTAGTTTGAATATTGCTCAATTGGAAGAAGAGGAAGACGAAATAGATGAAATGCATATCAATGAGAATAATTTCTTGCCAATTCTGAAAAGCACTGAAATTTACTGACCAGTTACGCATAAATAATATCGCTGCCGTTTAACAAATACACAAAAGAGAAATTCTTCCAACTAAAAGCTTTTCTAAATATGTTAAATTATTTACAAATTTATGATCGAATCCCACAATTCTTCTCATAAGACAAAACTCTGGAACGAGGATGACATCCTCTGTCGAAATAAATGAATGAAATTTGTTGAAGTGAGTTTGACAGAAGCCACCTGATCACTTCTGTTAAGTGTTGTTGGAGAATCGTATGTATAAAAATGGTAATTCAGATGGAAATGGCAAACTACGTGTATTGACGTTAATAATATAATATAAAATAATAATAATAACCATTGTTTAATCCTTTATACTAAATTGTTTCATTTAAGCTGATATATTGCATTGTTAAAAATAATTTATGCAAAGCAGTTGTGACATTTTTTGCAATTTTATTTCATTTCACTTCAGTGTTTCCAGATTTTCAAATCTTTGGAAATATTAAGTGGAAGACTATCTCCTATAATTGATAATATTGATCTACAAATTCATCAAGTTTTTCGCCTGGACTTCATTTTCAGACTTAATTTTCAAATTTGCTTTGTATGTATATGTGTAAATTAAGCTTATTAAATTTTTTACGGCCATCGTATATAACATATAATGTGATAAAGTTAGCTGTCAAATGAATACCAATTGAAAAAAAAAAAAAAAAAAAAAAAAGACGGCGGTAAAGTCCTATCAGTTACTGATAGTAATCAGCAACGTCGGTTCCGTCCAATAACTGTTGCACAATGTCGGGTTGGCATCACTTGAAATGCTGAACCAGAAGTTATCGGTTCGCCATCTATGGCTATGTAACCGCCAGAATTGCCTAATGGCTCTACACGACAAGCTCGGACTGGAACTATCTGCAATTCCTCATTGTAAAACTTTTTCAAAATTAAAGGTACTAAACAAGAATGGTAAGAAGGTACATATTTTGCATATGTCCTTATCATTTTCTTTAATTGAAATTTAAACAAATTCAAATAACCTGCAAAAAAGAATAAGTCAAATGTGAGCAGTCGTTTATTCCAAGCATCATTTTGGCAAAATCAAATCGTGATTTAACATTGCTCCAATCGACATATGTTAAATATAGGAAGTCATCATCCAAACGAGCACATGGAAGATAAGGCACATCACTTCCTGAATTACGAATAAAAAATGCTTTTAATAATCGTCTTTCATTCTCTTTCTTTTATCGAATGAATATCAACATAAAGTGTAATAAAGATTCATTTTGCTTGTTTCCGGATATAATTTTCAAATACACTTAATACTAATGATTTTATGCATGATAGTTTCCTGTTACAATCAATCCCTGTTACTTTTTCGAATGACGAACTATTCGTCATCAATGATTGAATAAGTTAATGACTAAAAATGACATTTAATTCAACTAACTGAAATTCATATTAAGTATTTTCGACCAAATATCGACTGTCGGATGACTATCGACTATCGACAAATTGTCAGTTAATGAACAGACGATTTAACAACTTTTTAAAAAATAAATTAATCCATCCATCATTTAATGCCTAATGAGTAAACATCTAATGTACTAAAAATTTATTCCGAAAAAAAAAAAAAAAAAATGATGATGAAAATGTATATCAACTTCAGATTTCGGAATGGACGAAATTGAAGATGTTAAGGAAGAACTTACCCAAATGAGAAAGGCTTGTCAAACAAACGTAAACGAAGTAACCTTCTAGCATATTCCAATCAGATCCAACCGGTTCACAAAGCGGAGGCATCTACGGATTTTTTCATTTTTATTAAATTCTAGAGAATTATTTATATTCAGTTTAATCTGACAAAAGAAAAAAAATAAAAATAAAAATAAAGAGATGCTAAATTTGGACAACAAAATGTTTAACCTTTAATAAAAAATAAGATCGGATAACTGAGAAGCAACATTTCTTTGTAACCAATAAATTGAATTTGACTACTGACTGATTCCAACTGTCATTTGTTATTAAGAAATGTTTTCATTTCAAACCAAATTTTAAATTCTTTCTTGATTGTTTTAGAAAAATCTTTAATCCTTGTATTTACACAGCACCCCACATTTCACTCCCTTCTTTCACGTTGATTTGAACTGATTGGTTTCAAACAATCAGGAATAAAACGTTATACTTGGATAAGATTATCGCTTCTAAAAATATCCGAGAAGCTATTACTGATGCTACCACCTGCTTCACTGCCTTCATGATCTATGAAATTCTCAACGGGTCGATATTCAAAATGACCTTTGGTATAGTTTTCTAAATCATTCCTGAAATCATTTAGTCTTCCTTCTTGTAAAATAAATTATTGTGATAATAGCTTTTCATCATATATTATTTTATGATTAGATAAAGCAATAAAGTTCACTGCCCATTGAAAGCTTTAATATTAAATGCTAACCCAACTTAGCAAATAATAACAGTTTAAACAAAGGCTAAATATTAAAACTCTTATGTTTGAGTCAAAGTTCATATTTAAAACAGTGAAAAATTCATTTTGATTTTTAAAAAGAAATTTCTTGAGCAAAAAAAGAAAACAACTAAAACAAAGAACAAAAAAACTACCATAATTTTGCCGGGCATTGCAAAACATTGCCAAGAACTGGCAAATATGAAATCCTGCCTTTGTAGCGAGCAACATGCGGTAATTCTGGAAAGCGATCGTGTCAAATTTTCTTTAAAGGATAAAAAAAAAACAATAATTGAAGTCGATGATTTGTCATCTTTTCGTCTTTTTTTTTTTAATGCTAAAAGAATAACTTGCTACTCGCAGAAAGGCTTCCATATGCAGTCGTGCCATACCTGCCCAACGAAAACGTTCACTTCCGATATCTTCAATTTGCTAACACTAATTAAACAACTTCACATGGATATACACAAAGAATTTGATGAATAATTTGATTTTAATTTAACAATAATGAAACAAACATATCACTGCCCACTTTATTAATGACACATGTTGTAATCAACGAATCATATATTATAAGAATTGTATGACCAAAAATTTATAATCGTATTTTTTACTATAGAATATTCTGCCTCATATCGATGAAACCTGCGATATATCTAATAGAGTATTTAACATATTTATCTATTAATGCCCTAAATTACTTTTTTTTTTTATTAAATGAAATATTTCACGTTATAATCATATAAATGATATTTACGGTTTTTTAAAATATTCTAAAGCTTGCATTGGAAAAAAAAAAAAAAAAAAAAGAAGAATATCAAATGATACATAGGACACAACAATTAATTTGAAATCAGCGAATAAAAATGAAGTGAAACGAACCAATATCAGCAATAAGACCCCACGTAAGCGACATGAACATCGCTTTGCTACCATCATGTTCTGTCTGCACATGATTAATACGTAACGGAAGATAACGTGGCCGTGCTAACATTATGGCCATTTCGGTACAAAAAATTCCACGTGGTGAGAATGGTTCACTGAAAATTAATAACATTAACGGAATGATCTGTAAATTGTAAATTAGCTGTTAACGGTAATTTCACTTCTTAGTTTGCTAAATAAAGCAATGAGCGATTAAGGAAAAAGGAAAAAAATTTCAACATTTTCATTTAGAGAAAAAAAAAAACTGAAAATAAAAGTGCAAATAGTATGCTTTACTTGCACTGGAAACATATGCTGGCTGCAAGTCCATTACTTGTACCACCAGGTATATGAGCTAATGGCATCTTTAGTGCCCGTTCACGATCCTGTCGCATTAGCAAACCTGATATTACTTCCAGTATCAATCCATCACCACTAATAGCAGCTACAGCGTCATAATTATCGAGTATAAGATTTTTTGCTATTTCAACTGCATGCTTCCGATGAACTTGAAATTTTTGAAAGTTTATTAAATTGTCGAAAAATTGCTATTAAAAAAAAAAAAACTTTAGTAAAAATTGATTGATCCAATCAGCGAATTAAAAAAAAAAAAAAAAAAGAAACTGTATAATTTTGATAAATTTATAGACAAAAGAAAAAAAAAAAGAGTAAACAAAAATGGAAAGAAACTAATGAACTTGTTTTAACAATATCATAATCAATGTTGGCAATTTTTAAAATTGGTTCAACATGTGTTTCCCATAATTTCAATCCACGTTTCTGGCCACTGAAAGGATTAACAATAACCAATATATGGCGACGTGGCCTTATAACACAGGTGATTAGATGTGCTGAAAGTTGATAAATTGATAAATCGTGATTTATTTTTTAAATTACAAATTTTTATTGCTAAGTTATACTAAGGAAAAATATTGGTCTGTTACTTTTTTTTTTCTAACATTATTACCATTGCGGTAGACGATATATCTGTTATTATTATTATTACAAGCTACCTGTTTTCGTTTATAACCAATATTTTATAATCCATTTTCCACTAATTAATATTTAGCATTCTGAATTTAAAAATGATAAAAAATTTACATACGTGCTCTTGCTGCTGTAATTTTTGTGGCAATGAATTTATCAGCATATTTTGCTGTATCTTCACAGCTAAAAGTTAAAGTAACTCGAACAAAACGACGTCGTTTTTTAATGACAGGAAAAATTATTAAAATAAGCTGCCATTCGTTTATCCCATTAACAATCTCTGAAATAATTTTGTTGATGAATTGCCATTTGAAAAAAAAAGTTATGAAATTAAATAAGATCAAATGATATTTTACAAGATTACTACAATTTAATCACTATTTCTAGCTTTTTTTATAACCAATAAAAATTTAGAATTTTGTTATTATTCCAAGGTTAAAATTTTTTATTTATATCTTAAGTTAAAAATTCAATATTTATTCGTAAACAACTCAATTAACAGGATAGAAGTGATAAGCCTAATAATATAATAATTGAATTTATGAAATGAAGTAAGACGAAAAACATTAGACAATTGTGTGTCATTAACTCAAGTGGAATGCAATTGTTCATTATTTCTTCTCAAGCATTCATTCATTTATGTATACATTCAAAAGTTCAACTTTGATACCATTTATAATATTTTTTCTTCTTACATTATAATGAAGTGATAGAATGATATTTTATCAAATTGTTCAAAATGTTGCAATTTCAAATAAGTTAATATGATGATACTTTAAAAAAAAAAAAAAAAGGTAATTCTCATCATTTTCTCTTTTTTGTTAAAATGAAATTAAAAGAAAAAAGAAATGAAATAAGTAAAAGCATACGATTTCTTGTGCATTTTGACATTAAAATGTCATCATATTTCATCGGCATGAAGCAATTTTCGGTAAATTTAAGACGTATTTCATCATTACTTTGTAAACATGCATCTATTTTATATCGTTTTTTGTTGATATGGACGAAATTATTAATTTCATATACCAAATCATTTACTAAGTCCTTGTATGGCACGAAATCATTATAATTAATTTTTGACGTTCCTGCACCCATTCCATTCGTTTATGATAGACCAATGATTGCAGTAGTATGACTCTAAGTAAAGTAAATCCATAAAGTTACTTCTAAATAGATTTACAAAAAAAAATAAAAAAAAAAGAAAAAACTTATAAAAGTGAACTGTAACTTTCAGATGATCCCTATTGGGAATTCTATTTGTTTACAAAGCATTTCCTAATCACAAAATGAATTTTGCAGAAATTCTTTGAAATTAGTAAGGGATGAAAAATTTTTTGCTTAATTTCAAAAAAGCAAAGAGTATAATAAAAAAAAAAAAAAAAGGGAGGAAAAAATATGCTAATAACAGGAAAAAAAAGTGAAAATGGGAAAAAAGCTTTGTACAGTATTGAAAAAAACAAACGAATTAATATGGCAAATTATAAACAATATTTCATTGTTGACATTTTAATTTGAAAAAAAAAAAAAAAATTCTTTTTTCTTTTATTTGAAATAAATGCATAAATATTATTTCAAAATATTATTTGAAATCTTGAGTATTAAAATGCCAAATATTATTTATTAAATTAACGATAATTATTAATATTAGTATAATAAAAATAATTTTGAAAAAGGAATCATCGGTTTTCTTTCTTTTTTTTTTGTGATTGAATTTATACTGAATATAAAAAAGGAGAAAAGTGCTTGAAAATTAAATACTTTAGTTATATAATCAAAAGAATTATCTGAGAGAATTTTATTCCCTGAAAAACAAACAATACTCATTTGTGTTACAATTTTCGCTAAAATTTAGTTGAACGATTTTCTTTTTTTTTTGCTAAATTAATTAGAAATTGAAAAATTAACCAGACATTATACGGGAAATCTTAATTGTTTAATTATTTGGATATAGCATCAATTGGTTGACTTCTTTCTTAAAAAAAAAAAACTTTATTGAGTCAAAAAAGAAAAACAAATGAAACGAAATTTTTTACCTAATGTAGCAAATATTTTTAATTCGAGAACTAATGCATGTGAAATGATTTTAACATCAACTGGATGAAATAACTCCCACAAAAAAATCTCAGTGCTTAACTATGCATTATTGATTTTTCATTTGGTAAGCAATGATAGCAAAGGCAAAAGAAAAGAATCAGTTTAGAACACTCTGCGATTTACTGATAGATATATTGACGTTATCACTGAATGTAATACAACAAAAAGAAGGGACTTTTTTCACCCAGTTTATTCATTTTAAAGTAATAAAAAGCTAGCTAATACTGTTATTCATTGATATGAATTGAATGTTGGGTTAGATTATCAAATATCCTAATTAAGTGGAAGTTTAATGCAAATAAAACAATTGAAATAGAATTTCGAATGTAAATTGACAAGTGAAATAAATTAACCTTTTCGTATAATTTCATAACCTTACAGATATATAACTTTATTGAAATGTTATAGTTGAGTTTCTTTTCTTTCCCAAAAATTTACTTCCATGTTACTTATGCAGTAATCGAGCGAGGAATACATTTGAGCAATTTCCCTTCATTAGTATTTAACAGTGGTACTTATTTACAAGTTCCTCATTTTATAGCATGCAAGGTTACTTGTTTGTTATGTATGTACCGCCAGGAAATTAATTTATTCTGACAAAACAAAAAACAAAGAAGTGGGAAAGATATGACACAATATAGATATAAAACCAAAAGGCATGCAATGAAAAAGACAGCGAAAGATAATAATTGATATATAAGAATAGGTGACACAAAATTGACTGATAAAAAATATAAATAATCAACAAAACAGAAACAGTAATGTGTATTTCTTCTATTTAAAGTGTAAAGTGCAAGCACTAATGCTTGAGCATGTGTGATTTCAAGCTCTTTTTATTCATGAAACCCTTACTGCATACAGTGCAGTGGTAGACAGGTCTATTCATGTCATGAGTTACCATGTGAGCCTGCAAATCCTGTTTTCGTGAGGAACATTTTCCGCATATCGGACAACTGTACGGCTTCTCACCGGCATGAGTCATCATATGTTCTTTCATATGTACAAACTGAGTAAAATTTTTTTTGCATATCGGACAACTGTACGGCTTCTCACCGGTATGTGTCAACATATGCATTTTCATATTCCCGAGTTGAGTGAAATTCTTTTTGCATATCGAACAACTGTACGGCTTCTCACCGGTATGAGTTATCATATGTACTTTCATATTTACTACTTCCTTCTGACATACATTACAGAGCCGTTTCTTTCTTAGGCATTCTCTTTGCTTTGATAGTTCCACTACTTCCATCAGTGTTTCGATTGGAACGAGCCGTAACAGCGGTTTAATTCCTTCATCACTCACTCCCTCCACTGATAAGCTTTGCGATTTACTCCCCACCTCTTTCACTTTTGATATTGATAAATCCAGGGGTTCTGTTTGGTCCGTTTGTGCTGCCTCAAATGATATGAAATTATCAGTCTCACACTACGCAAAAAAAAAAAAAAAAAAAAAATTTAAATCTTTTGGTATTGCAGCGCTATGTTGCATTTTATTAACTTTAGGTGAACTTACAGTAGTTTGAATATTGCTCAATTGGAAGAAGAGGAAGAAAAAATAGATGAAATGCATGCCAATGAGAATAATTCTTACCAATTCTGAAAAACATTCAAATATTCAAAAATTTCAAATTCATACGAAATAACACGGTTACTGTTTGACAAATGTACAAAGGAGAAATTTGTCCAAGTAAATGTTTTTCTAAGTATATCAGATTATTTACAAAGTAATCATTGATTCCCAAATTCTTTCTCATAATTCAGAACTATGAAAAGTGATCATTCCCCACCGAAATAAATGAAGTAGAACTTGCTAGATGAATTTTATAAAAGCGAATTTGACGCAGGTCACACGATTCTATAAGGGATTGTTAGAGAATCATATGTATAAATGCTTATTCATATGGGAGTGGTAAACTACGTGTATTGATAAGTCACATTCACGTATAATAATATATGTATAGTAGTAATAATTGACTTGATAATATTATATGTAAAAATAGTCACTGTTTAATCCTTTATATTGAATTATTTTATTTTAGCTGCTATATTGCATTGTTGAAGATAATTTATGCAAAGCAGTTGTGATATTTTTTGTAATTTTATTTCATCATTTCGTTCCGATTTTTTATATTTTCAAATCTTTGAGAATATTAGCATGAATGGAAAACTACATTACTGAATCTCTTATAACTGATAATACTAATTTATAAATACTAAATGATTTCATCAAATCTTTGGTTTCGGCTTCATTTTTAAACTTAATTTCCAAATTTGCTTTGTATGCATGTGTATAAATTAGGCTTATTCAATTTTCATACAGTCATCGTATACAACATATGATGTGATGAACATTTTAAATAATGCACACATCCCTTGTTAACAGCTATAAAATTCTAAACAATGCAGATAGGTTCAGCTACAACTGGAAGATGAGTGTTGATAAATGATTGCTTAAATAATAGATTTTTGATATATATTTGTCTAAAGAATATTCAATTAATAAAATCTTTAATCTTATGGTCTAATGCTATTTTAATGAGGCATATTATAATTTGATTTTATTCGGCAAGTTAGGTGTTGACAATTTGTTATATTAAAGTCAATTTCCGTCATTTATTTGAGTAAAGAATTGTTCGCAGATAGACTTAGCCACAACTAGAATAAGTGAATAAGCTAGTGACCAAAAAAAGATTCAATTCAATTAATTGAAATTCATATTAAGTACTTTCGATCAAGTATTGACTGGATGATGATAGGTTCGCAAAGTTCTACACTCAATAGACAGACGATTAAGCAACCCTTTAGAAATGTATATATTACATTATATGACTTTAATATACATTATATGACTCATGATATATTACTTTAATTAGCAATATTATCAGATAAAACAATAAAGTTCACTCCCCACCCCCCTCCCCCCTTAAAAAAGTTTTGCTACCATTATGTTCTGTCTGCACATGATTAATACGTAACGGAAGATAACGTGGCCGTGCTAACATTATGGCCATTTCGGTACAAAAAATTCCGCGTGGTGAGAATGGTTCACTGAAAATTAATAACATTAACGGAATGATCTGTAAATTGTAAATTAGCTGTGATTTTACTTTACAGTTTACTAAATAATCGGTGATTAGATATAGAAAAAAGAAAAAATTTTGAAACTTTCACTTAAAAAGAAATGCTGAAAGTAAAAAAGCAAATAGTATGTCTTACTTGCACTGAAAACATATGCTGGCTGTGGTACACAAGCTGATGGCATCTTTAGTGCCCGTTCATGATCATGTTGTATTAGCAAACCTGACCTGATATTACTTCCAGTATAAATCTATTATCACTAGTAGCAGCTACAGTGTAATAATTATTGACTGTAAAATTTTTTGCTATTTCAACTGCATGCTTTTCATGAACTTGAAACTTTTTAAAGTTTGTTAAATTGTCGAAAAATTGCTACTACAAAATTTTATTTAATAGAGATATTAATCAGAAGTATTCCCTTAGCAAAACTATATGTATAGTGTTTAATATAGTAAGTGTCATTTTTTTAATTAAATGAATAAATTTTTTATTAGCAAAAATTGAGCATGCTTTTATTTTTTATTGCTATAATTTATTAATTAAATAATCCATTGATTAATGGTTTCGTGTATTATTTGATTGTATGAAAAGAAAAGATCATGCTTACTCTTTCTGCCATTTGTGGCAGTAATAATTTAAAATTAAATATCAGTGTATTTAGCAATTGAGTCTTATTTCAAATAATATATACCATATAATCTTGTTGAAATGAGCCTCAGTAGACAATATATTTATTACTGTTACATTACTATTACAAGTATCTGTTCTTGTTTATAACCAATATTTTATCATCCATTTTCCACTAATTAATATTTAACACTCAGAAATTTGCATAATTTGAAATCTCCCTAAATTTAAAAATCATAAAAAAATAAATTTAGAAATCATAGAAAAAGTATTGATTGATAATTACTTTAAAAAAAAGAGAATGAAATTTTTGAGAAATCACTTTTTTTAAAAAAATTAATAGTTTTTGATTTTTCCCAGAAAAAAAAAAAAAGAAAACAAAAAAAACAAAAATTTTCGCCAAAAAGAAGATTACAGTTAAAAAGAAAATTACTTCGGAAACTAATGCAACAAGTAATTTTACTCAGGGACTAATGTAGCAAATATTTTTAATTCGAGAACTAATGCATGTGAAATGGTTTTAACATCAACTGGATGAAATAACTCCCACAAAAAAATCTCAGTGCTTAACTATGCATTATTGATTTTTCATTTGGTAAGCAATGATAGCAAAGGCAAAAGAAAAGAATCAGTTTAGAACACTCTGCGATTTACTGATAGATATATTGACGTTATCACTGAATGTAATACAACAAAAAGAAGGGACTTTTTTCACCCAGTTTATTCATTTTAAAGTAATAAAAAGCTAGCTAATACTGTTATTCATTGATATGAATTGAATGTTGGGTTAGATTATCAAATATCCTAATTAAGTGGAAGTTTAATGCAAATAAAACAATTGAAATAGAATTTCGAATGTAAATTGACAAGTGAAATAAATTAACCTTTTCGTATAATTTCATAACCTTACAGATATATAACTTTATTGAAATGTTATAGTTGAGTTTCTTTTCTTTCCCAAAAATTTACTTCCATGTTACTTATGCAGTAATCGAGCGAGGAATACATTTGAGCAATTTCCCTTCATTAGTATTTAACAGTGGTACTTATTTACAAGTTCCTCATTTTATAGCATGCAAGGTTACTTGTTTGTTATGTATGTACCGCCAGGAAATTAATTTATTCTGACAAAACTAAAAACAAAGAAGTGGGAAAGATATGACACAATATAGATATAAAACCAAAAGGCATGCAATGAAAAAGACAGCGAAAGATAATAATTGATATATAAGAATAGGTGACACAAAATTGACTGATAAAAAATATAAATAATCAACAAAACAGAAACAGTAATGTGTATTTCTTCTATTTAAAGTATAAAGTGCAAGCACTAATGCTTGAGCATGTGCGATTTCAAGCTCATTTTATTCGTGAAACTCTTGCTGCATACAGTGCAGTGGTAGACAGGTCTATTCATGTCATGAGTTACCATGTGAGTCTGCAAATCCTGTTTTCGTGAGGAACATTTTCCGCATATCGGACAACTGTACGGCTTCTCACCGGTATGAGTCATCATATGTTCTTTCATATTCCCGAACTGAGTGAAATTCTTTTTGCATATCGAACAACTGTGCGGCTTCTCACCGGTATGTGTTAACATATGTCTTTTCATGTAACCGCACTGAGTGAAATTCTTTTTGCATATCGAACAACTGTGCGGCTTCTCACCGGTATGTGTTAACATATGTATTTTCATGTAACCGCACTGAGTGAAATTCTTTTTGCATATCGAACAACTATACGGCTTCTCACCGGTATGAGTCACCCTATGCCTTTTCATATCAATGAACTGGATGAAATTCTTTTTGCATATCGAACAACTATACGGCTTCTCACCGGTATGAGTTATCATATGTACTTTCATATTTACTACTTCCTTCTGACATACATTACAGAGCCGTTTCTTTCTTAGGCATTCTCTTTGCTTTGATAGTTCCGCTACTTCCATCAGTGTTTCGATTGGAACGAGCCGTAACAGCGGTTTAATTCCTTCATCACTCACTCCCTCCACTGAGAAGCTTTGCGATTTACTCCCCACCTCTTTCACTTTTGATATTGATAAATCCAGGGGTTCTGTTTGGTCCGTTTGTGCTGCCTCAAATGATATGAAATTATCAGTCTCACACTACGCAAAAAAAAAAAAAAAAAAAAATTAAATCTTTTGGTATTGCAGCGCTATGTTGCATTTTATTAACTTTAGGTGAACTTACAGTAGTTTGAATATTGCTCAATTGGAAGAAGAGGAAGACGAAATAGATGAAATGCATATCAATGAGAATAATTTCTTGCCAATTCTGAAAAGCACTGAAATTTACTGACCAGTTACGCATAAATAATATCGCTGCCGTTTAACAAATACACAAAAGAGAAATTCTTCCAACTAAAAGCTTTTCTAAATATGTTAAATTATTTACAAATTTATGATCGAATCCCACAATTCTTCTCATAAGACAAAACTCTGGAACGAGGATGACATCCTCTGTCGAAATAAATGAATGAAATTTGTTGAAGTGAGTTTGACAGAAGCCACCTGATCACTTCTGTTAAGTGTTGTTGGAGAATCGTATGTATAAAAATGGTAATTCAGATGGAAATGGCAAACTACGTGTATTGACGTTAATAATATAATATAAAATAATAATAATAACCATTGTTTAATCCTTTATACTAAATTGTTTCATTTAAGCTGATATATTGCATTGTTAAAAATAATTTATGCAAAGCAGTTGTGACATTTTTTGCAATTTTATTTCATTTCACTTCAGTGTTTCCAGATTTTCAAATCTTTGGAAATATTAAGTGGAAGACTATCTCCTATAATTGATAATATTGATCTACAAATTCATCAAGTTTTTCGCCTGGACTTCATTTTCAGACTTAATTTTCAAATTTGCTTTGTATGTATATGTGTAAATTAAGCTTATTAAATTTTTTACGGCCATCGTATATAACATATAATGTGATAAAGTTAGCTGTCAAATGAATACCAATTGAAAAAAAAAAAAAAAAAAAAAAAAGACGGCGGTAAAGTCCTATCAGTTACTGATAGTAATCAGCAACGTCGGTTCCGTCCAATAACTGTTGCACAATGTCGGGTTGGCATCACTTGAAATGCTGAACCAGAAGTTATCGGTTCGCCATCTATGGCTATGTAACCGCCAGAATTGCCTAATGGCTCTACACGACAAGCTCGGACTGGAACTATCTGCAATTCCTCATTGTAAAACTTTTTCAAAATTAAAGGTACTAAACAAGAATGGTAAGAAGGTACATATTTTGCATATGTCCTTATCATTTTCTTTAATTGAAATTTAAACAAATTCAAATAACCTGCAAAAAAGAATAAGTCAAATGTGAGCAGTCGTTTATTCCAAGCATCATTTTGGCAAAATCAAATCGTGATTTAACATTGCTCCAATCGACATATGTTAAATATAGGAAGTCATCATCCAAACGAGCACATGGAAGATAAGGCACATCACTTCCTGAATTACGAATAAAAAATGCTTTTAATAATCGTCTTTCATTCTCTTTCTTTTATCGAATGAATATCAACATAAAGTGTAATAAAGATTCATTTTGCTTGTTTCCGGATATAATTTTCAAATACACTTAATACTAATGATTTTATGCATGATAGTTTCCTGTTACAATCAATCCCTGTTACTTTTTCGAATGACGAACTATTCGTCATCAATGATTGAATAAGTTAATGACTAAAAATGACATTTAATTCAACTAACTGAAATTCATATTAAGTATTTTCGACCAAATATCGACTGTCGGATGACTATCGACTATCGACAAATTGTCAGTTAATGAACAGACGATTTAACAACTTTTTAAAAAATAAATTAATCCATCCATCATTTAATGCCTAATGAGTAAACATCTAATGTACTAAAAATTTATTCCGAAAAAAAAAAAAAAAAAATGATGATGAAAATGTATATCAACTTCAGATTTCGGAATGGACGAAATTGAAGATGTTAAGGAAGAACTTACCCAAATGAGAAAGGCTTGTCAAACAAACGTAAACGAAGTAACCTTCTAGCATATTCCAATCAGATCCAACCGGTTCACAAAGCGGAGGCATCTACGGATTTTTTCATTTTTATTAAATTCTAGAGAATTATTTATATTCAGTTTAATCTGACAAAAGAAAAAAAATAAAAATAAAAATAAAGAGATGCTAAATTTGGACAACAAAATGTTTAACCTTTAATAAAAAATAAGATCGGATAACTGAGAAGCAACATTTCTTTGTAACCAATAAATTGAATTTGACTACTGACTGATTCCAACTGTCATTTGTTATTAAGAAATGTTTTCATTTCAAACCAAATTTTAAATTCTTTCT